AAAAAAAAAAAAAAAAAAAAAGACAGAATGTCATTTTGTTGCCCTCATAGAGTGCTTTGGCATCACAGCTCACCGCAACCTCAAACTTCTGGGCTCAAGTGACTCTCTTGCCTCAGCCTTCCAAGTAGCAGGGACTACAGGTATCCGCCACAATGCCCTGCTGTTTTTAGAGATGGGGTCTCGCTCTTGCTCAGGCTGGTCTTGAACCTGTGAACTCAGGCAATCCATTTGCCTCAGCCTCCCAGAGTGCAAGGATTACAGGCGTTAGCCACTGCACTCAGCCTTCTTCAATTAATTTTAATAGTAAAATTCCTTCTTCCATTTGTTTTGTAGGTGATTGTTTCATATATGCTCTTACATGATCATCACAGTAACTCTGAGGTACACAGTGCAGGTATTGATTCCCATGTTACAGATGTGAAAACAGTTTCTGAGAGGCAGTGTATAGTTTTCGTGTTGCACTGAGCTCAGGCTTTAAGGACCTGTCCTTTCTCTCCTAGTACAGTGCTGTTTCTGCATTATACAATGCAAAAGTTTCTCTACTTTTTTTTTGATGGTTCAGCATGTAATTATGTAGATAAAATTCAACCAAAATGTTAGGTTTTTTCCTACTCATACTGATCCAACTTCTGATTTTCTATAATTTATTTTCATTGATGCTGAGTCTTGTTTCTTAGAGCATAAAACAGCCTTTTACTTTTTTGTTTGCTATTGTTTTAAGAATTTAAAGGCAGTTATTATATCTATCTTTATAGGTTATTATAGCTATCTCTCTCAGTACCCTGAATGTTTCTTGTGCAAACAATGTTTTTATAAAATTTTCCAGTTTCTAGGATAAAATTGCTTATTTTTCTTGAATGTGGGTAAATACTATAGGGATAATAAGGTTTTTAAGGATAAGAAATATAAACTATGTTCATTTTAAGTGTACTCATGGTACAGTACAATGATAACAAATATTCCTGTAGAGCCATTTGTAATCTATTCTAAGAGTTTTACATGTATTAACTCAATCTGTAAAATAATTCTATAAATAGGACTCTTGTTATTATTCCATATTTATAAATAGGCAAATTGAGACATAAGCTTAAAACGTTTTCTAGATTTCACAGCTAGTGGCCAGAGTAGAATCTGAATTCAGGTGGTCTTGCAGCCTTAGAGTCTGTGCCCTTAGTCATTAGTCATGCTCCTATAGATCTTTCTAGGCCTAGGAAAGCCTGTATTTCATAACCTATTCATACTTCTGTTAAATGATTGTATTTGTTGAAATTATGGATGTCATAATTTATACAGGAGAAAGATGTCCGGAAGTGGAAGGAGGAATTGCTAGATCAACGACGCAGGATGATGGAAGAGAAGTTACTTCATGCTGAATTTAAACGAGAGGTGCAATTACAAGCGATTGTGAAGAAAGCACAAGAGGAAGAAGCTAAGGTATATTATAGGTGCTTTAAGTATTAGATTAAGTACTTATATACTTTTAAAAATTACTATATAATAGTAATAGAGGGTAAAGTTTACCAAGAGTTCATTCTGTTAAGTGGTTCTCAACCTATGGGTCACGACCCACAGGAACTGTATTAAAGGGCCGCGGCGTTAGGAAGGTTGAGAACCACTGTGTTAGAGAATAACAGCATTTTACAGGCTCATTTAAACTTACTAGGTACAGTATTTTAATTTATTTCTGAAATAATCCTGAGCCATGTATTATTTCTTTTGAAACTCTATGGAAGTATAATTGACAGAGAATAAGCAGCACATATGTAAACTATTCAATTTGATTAGTTTCGACATGTATATATATATTCCTGAAACTGTACAATGAGCATAATAAACAATTTCTCTTTGTAATTCATTCCTTCTTCCAGCTCTGTTACCACACAATTGCTGATCTGCTCTCTATCACTATTATAGATGTTTGCATTTTCTAGAACTTTATATGTATGGGATCATACAGTATGTACTCTTTCCTCTGGCTTCTTTCACTCTGCATAATTATACTGGATTTCATTCATCCTGTTGTGTGTGTCAGTAATTTCTTTTTATTGCTGAGAGGTATATCATTGTATGGAAATGTCGTATCTTGCTCATCTGGTCATATGTCAGTGGCTGTTTGTTTTCCTTCTAGGTTTTATCTGTTACAAATACAGCTGCTGTGGCAATGCATGTGCAAGTTTTTGTGCTGATATGTGTTTTCCATTTTCTTTTGAAAATATCTAGTAGTGGACTGGCAGAGCCTTAAGATAGTTCATGAATAACTTAAAACATTTTCCAAAGTGGTGAAGCAGTTTTACATTCCCACCAGCAGTAAATGAGAGTTGTAGTTACCTGATATTCTGACCAACACTTGAGACTTCATTCATTTCATTTTAGTATTTGTACAGTGTCTCATGGTCTTTTTCCCAGTTTTTTTATTGTGGGAAAATTACACATTACATAAAATTTACCATCTGGGGTGGTGCCTGTGGCTCAAGGAGTAGGGCACTGGCCCCATATACAGGAGTGGTGGGTTTAAGCCTGACCCTGGCCAAAACTGCAAAAAAAAAAAAATAAATAAATAAATTTACCATCTGAACCGTTAGTTAGGTATACAGTTCAGTGGTATTAAATAGGGTGTGTAAGGGTTCAGTTGCTCCACATCTTTTCTAGTTGTCATTCTTTTCTTTTTTTTCTGATAGCCATAATGTTTGTAAGGTATCTCACTGTACTTTTGATTTGCATGTCTCTAACAATTAGCAACACTGAGCACCTTTTCATGTGCATATTGGCTGTATACAATATTTTCTTTGAAGAAATGTCTATTCAAGTCCTTTTCCTGTTTTTGAATTGAGTTGCTTGGTTTTTGTTGTTGAGTTTCTAGAGTTATCTGTCTATTTTGTATTAATACCTTATCAAATGTATGATTTACAAATATTTTCTCCCATTCTGTGGATTGCTTTTTTATTTTGTTGATGCATCTTTTGATGTGCTGAATTCCAGTTTGTCTATTTTTTTCTATTGTTGCCTGTACCTTTGTTGTCATATCTGAGAAATCCAACATCACGACACTTTTGTCCTATGTTTTCTTCTGAGAATTTTCAGAAGTTTCAGCTCCGCATTTAGGTCTTTGATTTCATTTTGAGTCAATTTTTGTTTATGGTGTTAGGTAACAGTTCAGCTTCCATTACCCTTTTTTGAAAATACTACCCTCCATTGAATGGTCTTGGCATTCTTATTGAAAATCATTGGATTATATGTATGAGGATTTGTTTCTAGGTGCTATGTTCTATCCCATCAGTCTCTTTTCCTGTTTTTATGTTAGTACTACATGGTTTTGATCACTGTAGTTTTGTAGTAAGTTTTTGAAATCACAAAGTGTGAGTCTTCCAATTTTGTTGTTTTTCAGAACTGTTTTGGTTCTCTGGGTCTCTCTTGAATCCATATGCATTTTAGGATGGTTTTTCCTGAAAAATATTCTTTGGGATTTTGATGGAGATTTCATTGAGTCTGTACATCACTTTGTGTGCATGTATTAGTGATATCTTAACATTAGTTTTCTAATCCATGACTAGGGGATAACTTTTCACTTACTTATGACATCTTAATTTTTTCAAGAGTATTTTATGGTTTTCTTTGTATGTATCTTTTCCCTCCTTAGTTTATTCTTAAGTATTCTGTTATTTTTGATGCTATTATTGTTTGTTTGAGATGGGGCCTTGCTGTGCTGCCTGGACTATGATGGCATCATCATAGCTCACTGCAGCCTCAAACTCCTCCCGCCTCCACCTCCTGAGTAGCTTGAACTAAAGGCATACACCACCTGGCTAATTTTTTGGTTTTGTGTTAGAGGTCTCACTAAATTGCTCAGGCTGATGTCAAACACCTGGCCTCAAGCGACCTCTCCCCTAGGCTTCCCAAAGTGCTGACGTTACAGGCATGAGCCACCATGGCTGGCCTGATGCTGTTGTTAATGGAAGTGACAACTTCCCTTTCAGGTTGTTTGTTGTTAGTATATGGAAAGGCATTTGATTTCTATATGTTGACTTTGTGTCCTGCTACTTTCCTGAATATTATTTCTAACAGATTTTTTAGTGGACTCTATAGTATTTTCTACATATAGGATCATATCATCTGTGAATAAAGATAATTTTACTACTTTTTTTCTTATATGGATGCCTTTTATTTTTTCCTTGCATAATTGTTCTGGTTCAAATTTTCTATGCTATGTTGAAGTAGGGAAAGCAGGCATCCATATTTTGTTTCTGATCTTAGAAGAAAAGCTTTTAGTCTTTCACTTTTGAATGTGATGTTTGCTAAGGTTTTTTAATATATAGCTTTTGCAATTTTGAATTTGTTTTGTTTTATTCCTAGGTAGTTGATTATTTTTATCACAAGGGGCATTGAGTTTTTTGATTGTTTTTTGTGTCAGTTGAGATTGTGTGTCCCTCCCCTTCATTCTGTTAATGTATTATAATACATAGGTCAATTTTTGTATGTTGAATCAACTTGGCCTTCCAGGAATAAATCCCACTTGGTCATGGTGTATGATCCTTTTAATAGGTTCCCAGTGGGGTTTGCTATTACACATACTTTGTTGAGGGTTTTGGCACTAATGTTTATAAGGGATATTGGTGCATATCGCTTTTTTTACTGTGATCTCTCTCTGGTTTTGGTATTAAGGTATTCCCGACCCCATAGAATAAGTTAGAACATAATCCTTTCTTTATAATTTCTTAGACTCATGTTTGAGTAGGATTGATATTAGTTCTTTAAATGCTTGGTAAAATTTGCTCTTTATGGCCATGAGATCCAGGGATTTTATTAGGGGATTTTTTTGTTTGTGTGTTTGTTATCATCTAACTCTGGTAAAGTTAGCCCACATCACAAAATCCCAAAACCAGAGATGCTGGCGTGGATGTGGAGAAAAGGAAACACTTCTACACTGCTGGTAGGAATGCAAACTAATACGTTCCTTTTGGAAAGATGTTTGGGATTTTTTTTTTCCCAGGTTTTGGCCGGGCTGGGTTTGAACCCACTACCTCCGCTATACGGGGCCAGAACCCTACTCCTTGAGCCACAGGCGCTGCCTTCTTAGGAGATTTTTGATTACTGATTGATAATTCTTACTAGTTATAGGTCTATCCATATTTTCTATTTCTTTTGATTTATTCTTTATAGGTTTTGAGTTTGTAGGTGATGTGAGTTCTGCATGAGATTAATTTCTTTTTGATATGGCCATGTAATATTCTGACCCATTATTGAAATGACTATCCTTTTTACATTGAATTACTTTGATGCTTTTGTTGGAAATCAATTTGCCATTCATATGTGGGTTTCTTTCTAATTCTATTCTATTTCATTTATCTCTGTGCTTATCTTTATGCCAATACCACTTTATCTTGATCATTGTGCCATGTTAGTAGTCTAGATATCATGAAATGCAAGGGAAACTTTTTGCTTTTCAAAACTATTTTGGCAATTTTTTTTTTTATTTTTTGAGACAGAACCTCAAGCTTTCCCCCTGGATAGAGTGCTATGGCATCACAGCTCACAGCAACCTCCAACTCCTGGGCTCAAGCGAGTCTCCTGCCTCCGCCTCCCAAGTAGCTGGGACCACAGGCGCCAGCCACAGCGCCTGTCTATTTTTTGGTTGCCGCTGTCATTGTTGTTTTGGCGGGCCCAGGCTGGATTTGAATGTGCCACCTTACGTGTATGTGGCTGGCACCTTAGCCACTTGAGCCACAGGCATCGAGCCTATTTTGGCTATTTCAAATCCATTGTAGTTCTGTATAAATTATAGGATCAGCTTGTGAATTTCTCTAAAAAAATTTTTTTAAAAGACCTGCCTAGATTTTTATTAGGATTTCATTGAATTTATAGATTTACTTGGGATAGCATTGATATCTTAATGATATTGAGTATTTTGATCCATAAGCATGGCACTTATCTTAAATTCTTTAGGTGTTTGTCTTTGCTTGTGTAATGTGAAATTTATCGAGTTCATATTTTTATGTTATATTCAATGATATTTTGCTTTAATTTTTCTAATTCTTTTTTTGCTAGTATATAGCAATATAGTTGATGTCTGTATATTTACCTTGTATCTTACAACCTTACTAAACTCTCATTTATTAGGTATAATTCCTTTTTCTTCTTTTGTAGTCTATATGTTTTTTTATTTCTTTTCACCTCCCTTTATTCCAGTGGCTAGGACTAGTGCAGTGTTGACTAATTGTGAAGAGAGCTGGCATCAAAGCCTTATTTCCAATCTTAGGGGGAAAGCATTGAGACTTTTATCATTAAATATTAAATGAGCTATTGAATTTCATAGTTTTTTTAGTCAAATTAAGGAACTGCATGCTATTCTTAGTTTATTGAAAACTTTCCACGAATAGACTTTTAATTTGGTCACATGATTTTTCTTAGCATTTAAGAGGTTTATTTGGTTCACGGTT